GATTCTCGATACTATAACGTCACGTTATGCATATACGAAACGTCATCTACCCAGCTTCATTTGCGGACGGGGAATGTCTAGGGCTGAAAAATAAAACGCCTTCCGACCGTGGGAAAAACGACGGAGTTCGTATCGTATCGAAAACGAGCCGAACTTTTATCATTTGATCCGCCGTATAAAAATCCGAAATTTCCCAAGCGTGCGGTTATTAATCGAAATAAAAAAAAAAAAGAAAAAGCGAAACGGACAACAACGTAGCGAATAAAATTTCCATTAGTGTTACCTAGTAAACCGAACGATCGAGTTGAAATCAAATTGAATCATTACGCAGTTGCGCGCGTCAATTAAAAATACAAGCAAATCGATTGAAACCCGACGAGAACAACGATTTCAATTAACATACAATGTCTACGGCGCGTTCGAGTGCGTGTACCTTACGCATACCACGCTGCGGGCCGTCGCGCTCTGTATGCTTACGATACAGGACGCCGCGAAGAATGCGGCGATTGAGATATCGCCGCATTCTTCGTGTGGACCGCGCGTATTTTTAAACGAACAACGCGCGGACGACGCGCGTCACGTGTGTGGATATTTTGAAAACTGTCTACGTACGCGTACTGAGGTGCGACTGCGGTGTATAGCTGGTACGGTATACTCGTGTGTGTGTGTGTGTGTGTTTGGTAAGCCGGTCCTATGTTGTTAGGAAACGTACAAAGGTATATTAGAATTTTAATACGTGTTTTTCGACGCATACTAAACAGGGTGATCAATCGATCGTAATACACCCGTTCTCCCGGAAAATATTTACTTTTCCGGAACTTTGTATTCCAGAATATTTAAGACACAAGCTGCTCTGCAATTTCGTATTTATGTTATTTTTTTTCGTCGCCCTTATTTTCGGACGTAAAACCACTTCGTATTTTTGATTTTCAAATGGCAACCTATATTAAAAATTCCATAAATAGACGAAGTGTTAGTTAATATGAATTTCGGTGTTGAAACTTTTGATTCCCGTCAATCCGCCGACGAGATATTCCACGTTTAAGCTTGGGTTGGGGGGAAAGTGGGTGGTGCGTTATTAACACGCCGCGCGCCACACCGCCACACAAATGATACTCCACTACTCTCCTCCCACCCAAATTTAAAAGTGAAATGTCTCGTCAATGGACTGCCGGCAATCAAAAAAGTCAACATTAAAATTTATTTTAAATAATACTCCATCTGTTTATGGAATTTTTATTATGCGTTGCCATTCGGAAATCAAATATAGACAGTGGATTTATACCTGAAAATAATTTTGACGAAAAATAACATAAATATAAAACTGTAGAACAGCTTATTTCTGAAATATTCTTGAAAATAAATTCCGGAATAAGGATAAAAATAAATATATATATTATAACATATACCCATTGCAAGATCTGCAGAGTATCTGAGATAATAAAAATAATCATATTATGTTTTTTTTTTTTTTTTTTATATTACTCACAGAGATAAGGACTACAAATATTAATTTTTTCCAGTTGACCGTTTACGTTTTGGTAAAAGAATTAAAAACCTAATTTCTTGTTTTGCTATTTTTGAAAAATGTAAAGATGGCTATATTTTATAAATTTTATTATTCTTTTAAAAAGTTTGACGTTTCAACTCATTATTTTTGCTGAATTCGTGATTATTAATAATTTTTGATAGTCCGGAGAAAAAAAGTGCCGTGTCAATTACCACAATAACAATAACGACAATAAAAATTGGCAATCGGCAAATTCGATTACAAATTACTGGATAATTATAGATATTCGGAATAATAATTAATATGGCAAAAGTATTATTATTATGGCTATAATATTGACTGTGCGTTTTTTTCCTCTGAACTTTAACGAATCGTACAAAACCACGAATGTATTCAATGAAAATAAAAAATTGAAATGACGACAGTTTTCAGAAAAACTCCCGAAAACGGCATTATGATTAGCAATATTCATTTTTGTTTATTCATCATTATATTATGATGATTATTGTTATTCGTAGAGCCCTCATTCAACTGCAGATTGGCAACACCGAGAACGATTTCTGATGTACGACCAATACTATTTACAATCGGTAAATTATGATGTATTTTTGCTGAATAGAATTCGATGTATGAGTTGTGGTTTAATGTTGTTTAATTTTTTTTTTATTTTTTCAATCAAGAATAATAATTAACTAGTTATTACTATTATTGCCGTGCAAGGTGTTAGTGTATTACGCGGCGATGACAAGGACTGATGCATAATAATATTGAATTGCCGATATTAAAATATTTGTTGAATACAATAATATTGTCATGGAATGGTTTTTTTTTTTTGTATTTATTTTAGTTTCGGAGCGGAACGAGGAATGTATTGGTTTTAAAATGCTATTTATTTTCTTTGTTTTTTCTTTTCTACGAACAACGTTCCAACATCATTTTGCTCTGATTTTCACGTGTAGCACCTTTTCTGCAAGGAAATTATAAGGAGGTAATATTTTTGATTTTCCCAAGGATTTTCGTAATAAATTAGAATATTTGGAAAAAACGAAAAAATATACGAAATTTATTATTTTCAAATCGTAAAATATTATGGCTTTTCAAATCACGTACAACCGAACTTCGCTCAAAATCGTTTTTCGTTAGCAATAAATAATCGTTTCGTACACATATAAAATACATTACATTTCCCCTCTACCTTCCCAACTTTTCACCTACAACAGTGGCCCACCAACCGTGCGAAGTATGTCCGTTTATTTTGTCGTGAATATTATTAATTAGGATTTCATATACCGTAAAATATAAATAAAAATCGTTTTTTTGGTTCAACTAAATTAAAAAATTAAAACTAAAACTGTTTTTTTAATTAGAAAATGTCGTTTATTCCAAATTATTTATTATAACAGTGGCGCACACAGAGGGGAGGTTAGAGGGACAGGACTCCTCCAAAATGTCGTCCTTCATTATATTTGCTAAACCAAGTTTTACATTCAGCGGCATAACATCTGATACCATAGAATGAAATGAAATTTAATTACATAAAAAATCATTTATTTGGTAATAATAGTGATAGTAATATAGTACTGTACAGATAATATGCACTATCCTCACTCTAGTAAATTATTTTAAGCACACACCCTCTCACTGTTTAAAAAAATATTCCTGCGAGTGCTACTAATTGTACGTTAAATTAATAAAATACCATGTAAAGCTTAATTTATTACAATATTTTTATGACCCTGGGCAGTTGCTCCTGAACACATTCTAGTATAGGCATTTTAATATACACGTTTTGTGATATTTACGTATGGAATAATTTTAATTTTTGAATCCGTAAAAAAAATTGCCTACACTAGTTCTTTTACTTCTGAAATGATTGCTACTATATTTATTATAACAATATCAAATACTTGTGAAGGAAGAATTTATTTATGTTAAACATTTTAAAATTATTATTTATTATTTAAAAATTCATCATAATAATATTTATAAATGTAATAATATGTCAATTCTTTTATTATTTATCATCGTTTTCAGTGTTTTTAAATTAAATTTACGTAATATTATTATTGATTTTGTTTAAAACATACAATTTCGCTACCATTATAAAATTAATTTTTACGCACAATGTTTTAGACGAAAAATATTGCTTCAATCAAAAAATGACAAAACACTTTGTTTATTTCATTTTAGACATAGGAGCAGTGGAAGAAGTATTATTTTAATTTACAAAGCAGTTTTCATAATAATTAGGAAAAATTGGAAAAAAGCGTAAAATGAAAATTGTCAAATTTACGGCATAAAAATTCCTTTTTTTTTAGATTTTTCACGGTTAATTCGTTCTACCAGAAATGTTGCTTAAACCGAAAAACGACAAAAGACCCTTTTTGTTGATTTTTTAATCCTGTATTAAATAATTTATTTTACTTTTCGGATTTCCATGTCGTTTCCTATATATTTGATTCAAAATGTAAAAATAGCAGGAGAATTTACTAAAATAGTGGTTTCATTGTTTTCAATTAAATTTTGTTTTTTTTTATACATTGATAATTCAGTAAAAAATATTATTAGAGACTTGACATTTTAACGGAAAAATTATAATTGCCTTTTCATGACGAGGTAAAAATTTTAAAACATTGTGACTATTTTTTGAGCTATTTTTAGGCATTTTATTTTTACGAGTTTTTTCGCGTATTTTTCATTTGGTAGGTACTATAGATACTTAGGCCGAAATTTATAGCACATTGTTTATTTTATTATACCTTGGCTTTGAATTTTTTTATAATTCCATAACTCATAATGTATTAGGTAATCAAGTATAACATTTATCATTTTTCATTATTCATTATTATCTAATATTATTGTCGGCGAACTAATTTATTAAAACTTGTATACGTATATCTGACGGTAGTCGAAATAATTTCCTACTATTGTTGTTATAATTGATGAATTAACGTAAGATTTATCATGAGATATGATGGAAATAATAATACGGATTTAATTATTAACAATTGTATTATGAATTAGCTACTAATGTTTTATCTATTTTTCGTCACAATAATTATTCTCTGTTACGCTGGAAAGATAGAAGATTTCAGTATAAATTATAGGTAATTCAAAATTGAATATTTTCAAAACAAAAATTTCATAGTTTTATCCATTATAGAACAATATTTTAACCTCATCAAGTTCTTTCTTCAGAAGTCTTTGATAAGAACCTCAAATAAAAAAAACCTTTCAGAAATGACGGAGCTAATATAGGCAATTCTGTATACGGTAACGAAAAATGTGTTGCTTTGGCGAACATCTTCCTCGTGTACGAAGTTGTTATCATCGACTGAAATAAATATAAGCTGTTCCCATCGTGATAAAGACATAAACATTCTGCAAAATTCTAATATAGAATAATATTATTTCCTAACCTTAGATAATCAAAGAATATTAAGATAAATTTTATCTTTTCTGCATTATCTATGGTTGCGTGCCCGGTTATATTCGTTATCAGACGTGCCCATACGATTTTGGTTAATAGTGATAGATTTGCAAAAACGATCATACCTCTAATAAGATAGGAATCGTAACCATGATTCTTAAATTAATTAATTTTAATTCGCTCGCCGATCGGTGCTAAGTGATGAATAATTTTACATATTTTCAGTTTTAAGTGCTGCTTAGGTGTAGGTAAATTAAAACAGTAGGTATATATGTATTTAAATTTTTTTTTTAAGTGTTTTTTTTCTTACAGTTTTTGTTTTAATTCTCATTATATCATTATCTCATTATCTCATTACCTCTGGCCTGTACAGATTGTTTTTGTATGAATGTATACCGAAAAATTCTACCCATTTGAATAAATTATTTGTGTAATTTAATATATTGCGGAAAACCTATTACCTATTTATCATTATAAAGGTATGACACGATCTGCAGGTAATTTAGGTGTACCATCTACAATTATGAGTTTAATTGTTTCTTCTTTTAATTTAATACGTATATTTTAAATTTGATTGCATATCATTTGACATTCATGCCAAAAAATGTATTCGTCATTTGCTGTAGCTCTATGTTTTATTTTTTTCAGGTATAGATCTGAACAATTAATTGAATATGTTTTGTCCAAACGGTTCGTTGGTTGACGTATGGGTCAATGAAAAGACGTCAGAATGTTTTATAGAAACTACGGTAGCGGGCACTTTGGCTATGTTCATGATCCTGTTTGGTACGGCACAATGTTCAGTATACAGGAAATACAGTACACCTCTCTCACAAGCTTCAATTCCTCAATCCCGACTATATTATATGCAAATGATCATTACTTTTCTCATTCCACTATTGGCAGTGGCTAAATTTTGTTTTGACGTTTACCTTATTCAAAATGGTATTGTCTACGGTTATCAAGTAAGTACCTATTTGAACATTTTTAATTTGTGTGATGAATATTGGTGTACATTGTTGATTAGGTTGTAGGGAACGGATTTATATGAACAAAAAAGAGTTATTTTTTTCTTCAAAACAGTAATGATTTACATAAGTAATTTGTAGCTGTAAATAAAAATAAAAAAAAAAATATATATAAATTTGCAGAAAAACAAAAATTGTTTAGGTATGTGGTTAATAAAGTAGCATTTCCATATAAATCTGTTCCCATATTGATTATTTTCAATTAAATAAGTTATTTATATAATTATTATTGTTTAGGCGTTATATATGCTTGTCATGGTGTTTGTATTTCCCCTTTCGGCAAAACTTGTACTAATGGAAAGAAACAGTCTACTACCTTCAATGCCAGCCCGTGGACATGGCTTAGTCTTGCTTGTATTTTGGATTTTAATATTCACTGCTGTAAACTTGACTTTCATTTCGATCAAAAAAGAAAATTGGTGGCTACAATTGCATAAGTTAGTATATCATTTCATGAATGGATTATTATTTTTTTTTGTATGTAATAACGATAGTACTTAATTAATTTTCAGTATTAAAGGTCAAATTGGATTTAGTTTATTTGTTGGAAATTATATATTAAGCTTTTTACTATTGCTCTTGGGTTTAAAAGCCCCCGGTATAATGACTGCAAGAGATTACTTCAGTCTCAACAACTCTTCAGATTTGTTTTTAGATGTAAGTTTTTAATAAATATTTATTGATAATAGTGTATTTTTATCATTGAGTAATATCTTATATAATTCCCATTTCACATTTTGTTTGACTTGTTAAAAAATCTATAATTCTTTATGTATTTTCTTAACTTTTTTCCATTTAATATAATTATTTATTTTGTTTTACTTTCTAGGTTTAATTTTCTATTAGTTTAACAAGCATCCTAAGAATTTTTCTAGGTTTTCTTGATAACTGATTTCAAATAAATTCAATTTTTATATGAATTATTGATTTTAAAACTATATTATTTATCTAAGATTATAATATATATATTTCTTAACAGTGACATTGGATAGGGTGCGTTACTCATACATTAACTATCACAGGTCAAAAAATTATTAATGTTTTCAAAAATAAGAATATCTAATAAATTTGATAAGAAATAGAATTTTAAAAATCTAACTTTAATGCATTTTTCTTTTTCATAAATCTACCTATTTTCAAAATGTCAGATCTCTGTGTGTTCATTGCATACACATGCTCCCAGTCACTTACTTTTATAAGATAAATAGTATTTTTTAAATTGTTTGTTTATATAAACACAATAAGATACAGGGGTGCAAGTTTGTTGTATCTTAAAACATTACTTACATACTTTTAAAATTTTTAAATATATTTTCGATTTCATGATTTATTAACAATCATAAAGTTCTTTGAATTATTGTTGTATCTACATAGATAATTTTTATAAGTGTATATTCATTACTATAATATAGTCAAGGGGGATTTATATGTGTTCCGTGTTTTTAATTACTATTTGTTATCTCTATAAAGTCTCAAGATTCTATGGCTTACAATATAATTTATACAGGTACTTCAGTTGTTAATTTTCATTCATAGAGAAATAGGTGTATATATTATTTTATACAATTTTATGTTTACATTAATTGTGAAAAAAAAATTCATAGACTACTAAGTGTGGACTAGATCGATTAATAAATGGGTCATCCGAGACCTTTCTTAAATGATGTATTTTATATTATTATACTTTAAATTTATTTTGAAAAGATATTGTACGGTATGTAATCATTTTATAGTCTGATCGCGTAGAAGAAGTATCAACATGGAGCAATATGATGAGAAAAGTCAAAATGATTGCGCCATTTGTTTGGCCAAAGAACAGTTTGGCTTTACAATTAAGAGTAGTGGCTTGTATTTTATTAGTTATTGCTGGTAGAGTTGCAAATGTATATGTACCACTTTACAGTGCAAAAATTGGTTAGTTAATAATTAACTAGGTGGGTAAAAATAATATAATAACTAAATTACTGATTTTATTTAAATTTTAGTTGATAGCTTGACAGCTGTTCCTCTTGTGTTCAGATGGGATTTGATTTTGATCTATATTGGAATTAAGTTTTTACAAGGTGGTCTTGGAATGGGTTTCTTGAATAATTTTAGAAGTTTCCTATGGATTCGAGTACAGCAATATACTAAACGGGAGGTTGAGGTAATTACGTTTTTATTAATTGTCCTTAATAAATAACTATATTAACTTAATAATAATAACTATAGCTTAAGTTTTAAAATCCATTTAAATATATGGTCGGTAATTTGTCCTTAAATTTAATTTATTTATAATGTATAATTTTACTTTTAACTCATATTTGGAGTATACATACATTTTATAATTTAAATGTTGAAACCTGGTACTAATTTTAAAGTTATTTTTGAAAATTTACCAACATTTTGTGTAAACTTAAATTATGTTTGTTTGTTTACAAAACCATTTTGCTACAAAGTTTGCTTTAATTAAAACTATACAATATTTTATAGATATCATTATTCCGCCATTTACATGAATTGAGTTTAAAATGGCACTTGAGCCGTAAAACTGGCGAAGTTCTAAGAATCATGGATCGTGGAACGGATTCTACTAACAGCTTGCTCTCATTTATACTTTTTAATATTGGACCTACTATAATTGACATCATTGTTGCGGTTATATTTTTCTTATCGTATTTTAATTGGATGATGGGTACTGTTGTTTTTATTACAATGGTATTATATATAGGTAAATTATTTTATATATATGTATATATTGAAAATTATTTAAAATATATATGTCAGCAAAACATGTACAAAGTGATCCATGTTTTATGAATAAGCAATTTTTTTTTGGTGGATTAAAGTGGATTTAATTTACATATATTTTTTTTTTTTAATCATGAAATTGTTTTAGCTTTATTTTAACACTATTTTCAATATTTGACCTTTAATTCTTTTACTTAAAATGAGTGTATATTTTCGATATTAGTGTTATATATGTTTTTTATAATATCTATACTATCAGATTTATTTATATTTAAAACAGGACAGATTTCTATTTATTAATCAAAGGTATAAGAAGTGACTGTAAAAATAGTGTTAAAAAAAGCTTAATAAATTTGATAATATTATTATTATGATAAATTATAATAAATGGATCACTCTGTAAAAATGTATTACAAAGAACCATTAAAGGTTAGCATATATATAGAGTTGTTACAAATTGTTTATGTAATACATTTGTTAATATTTCTCTTACATAGTTTTATATAAGGTCATCATATCAAAACATGTAAGTCATTCAGAATATTAGAAATGTAAGCATAATTTGTTTATGAATTTGATATAGAGTTTCATAATGTTTATTAGTAGTTTTAAATTCAATTTATTGATATAAATAGTTTAACTTTAAATTTACTAATATTTGTATTTCAATTTAAAATTAAGATATAAAACAATTTAACATTAAATCACAGCCCATAGATACATAATAATATGAAGAAAAAAACCAGATAAAGTACAGCAAAAAATGTTGTTTGGAATAAATTGCATTGTAAAATCTTATCTGTAGATAAGAACATCTTAAGAGAATATCATATTTGCATTTACTGTCTCAGTCTAACTAACAGGCGACACAGCAAAGTTATGTTATTTAGAACATAAATTGTGACATTAAGATTGAAATTGAAATTAAAACACAAATAACAAAATTAAAAGAGGAGCAGGATATGTGTAGGGGCTATATGTACAGTTTTTTTTAAAAAATTGCCATACAAAATAGTTTTGCCCATATTAGTTTTTTTTTTTTTTTAAATATTTAAGCTGTATCATTTTTGTATGACAATGTTTTAAAATATAAAATATAAGTATTGTTAAACAATTTTATTTAGACCCTTTGAGCCGTTTAAATAATAAAGGCTCAAGGCATTTTAAAAAAAAAAATAATTAGAAATAAGTTGCGCATAGCCCTCTAAAAATGTATGTTGTACCGTAATATTTTTTTATGTTGCCAATTAGTTTGACACAATAAATGTGGTTGTGGTGTCCTCTAAACATAAATAAGTCATGACCAGGGATAGGAATTTTTAAAGACTAAAATAAGCTCTTAAAAAAAATGTTTAAAAAGAGCACTTTCAAATTTCATGTTTGAACTCGTGAATCTTTTTAAAACTACGATTGCAAATTTTTATTCTATCATGCTCAGTGACAATAAATTAAGATAACAAAATGAAACAAATACAAGTTGAATAATAGAATATAAAGAAAAAAATCTGGGTTTAGTCGTTAGATTTTTTAATTGCATATTACAAAGGAAATATATTTTTAAAAATCAAGTAAAAATAATTATTATTTAAACTAAAACATAAAAAAACTCTCTAAAAAATCATATTTAAATCCTTGAACTACGATAGTAAACATTTTCTCTGCTTAGCTAAATTTAATGGCAAAAAAAGGCAAAAAAAAACCAAGCAATATTAATTGAAAAATAATTCCCGAATTCTGCATCTAAAATACTTATATTTAATTTATTTGTATTTTTAGCATTGACAATAATAATAACAGAATGGAGAACTCAATTTCAACGTCGAATGAATTTAGCGGATAATAACATGGAAGCACGTAGTGTTGATTCCATGTTGAATTTTGAAACTGTAAAGTATTATGGTGCTGAAGAGTATGAAGTTCAAGCTTATAAGGATGCAATTATGGTGTATCAAGTAAGTTTTATTTCATTTCATTTAGGATAGAAAAAAAAATACTTCCAATATATTATTATTACTTATTTAGAATGAAGAGTTTAAAACTCAAGTGTCTTTAGCGATTCTCAACACCGTTCAAAACCTGATTGTCTGCACAGGATTGTTGGCTGGGTCATTGCTTAGTGTTCATTTTGTTGTTGATGTTAAAGAATTAACAGTTGGTGATTATGTTCTATTTACTGTATACATTATTCAGCTGTATGGGCCGTTAAACTATTTTGGCACCTTTTATAGGTATAAAACAAAATTTAGTGTTTTAATGTCATCTAAAGGTATCTAAAATGTATTCTATGTAAAAAATATTTAATAAAATAAACACTTTTGAACAGAGCAATTCAGAAGAACTTTATTGACATGGAGAATATGTTTGATCTAATGGCCATAAAACCAGAAGTCAGTGATGTTCCTAATGCCAAAGAATTAGTATTGAAGACTGGACAAGTAGAATTCCGCAATGTTACATTTTCATATCAACCAGAAAGAGTAGTTTTAAAGAATGTTTCGTTTGTGGTTCCGTCTGGAAAAACATTAGCTTTAGTCGGGCCATCGGGTAGTGGCAAAACAACAATTGTTAGATTATTGTTCAGGTTTTATGATGTTGAATCTGGATCCATCATAATCGACGATCAGAATATACAACTAGTTACACAAACATCCCTTAGAAAGGCTATAGGTGTTGTTCCACAAGATACCGTTTTGTTTAATAACAGCATTAGGTGTGTAAAAAACTAAAACAATCTAACATTAAAGTTTAAATATTCTAATAAAAATTGAATTTTAGATTTAATATAAGTTATGGAAAAGTGGATGCTAATGATTCAGAAATTATGAATTCTGCAATGGCAGCTGAAATACACGAAAGAATTATGAAATTCCCAGATTTATACGACACGCAAGTGAGTGAAACTGATTTTTAATTACGAAGTAATATTAAATTGTATCGATTTTTCAGGTTGGAGAAAGGGGGTTAAAACTTAGTGGTGGTGAAAAACAACGGGTAGCCATAGCTAGGACTTTACTTAAAGCACCAGCTATTGTTCTGTTGGATGAAGCTACAAGTGCATTGGACACTAAGACAGAAAGACAGATTCAAGTAAATACATTTTTTATAAATACTATTTTTGTCAAATGGTCCCTCGAAAATATAAAATTATAATAATAATAATATATTGAAGCAACAGTAACAAAGTTGCAAACTCACTCTGTACGCCTATACAGGGTGCTAAAAAGACGATTTTTAAAGATATTAAGTCTAATATATTACGTAGTATTTTAAATTTATAAAATAATTTACTAATTACATTATTTGCTGAATAGATAATGTCCTACCATCCCCTTCTCTTTAAATTACAATAGCCGTATTCCTCTGAAGATATATTCCAAATTACATTTTGGCTTTCAACTTGCTGAATCAACTTTTCTATGTTAAAGGCCATTGTAGTATTTTTTTTTGATAAAAACAAAAGAAATAATTTATTTGAAAATTAAATGTGATGACTATAGTCTAGTAAGATTTAAAGAAAGCAAGTCTGCTGTTTTGACTAGTGTGCAATGACTGATTTCAGCCACATACATTCACCTTGTCTCGTTCTGACCGCACGCTATCTGTTGGCTACCATGCAACTATGAACATTCTATTGGCTGCCACAGCTGGATATTTAATGGCAGTTTAGTGCCTTACAGTTCATCTTTTATTTTCTACTTTTATATTCTACTATTTTTATACACTTCTTACACATTCTGACAACTTGACTAGTTATGCCCTAACTTGAGAATCCAATTTATTTTATAGACAGATTAAAGAGATAAAAGTTAAGATGAATTTTACTATGTTGTTGATTGTATATTTTTAGCTTTGAATATCTTTACAAACCCCCTATTGTAGAGAGACGCAATGTTGTAAACATATTGAGTCAGTCAATATCAGCTTTTGAGGGTTTCAACTTTAAATCCTCATCCCCAATCATACCAATTTTCTTTGTAAGTAGTATAGTTTATATTATTAGATATTGTTTTATTTGTATTTTTATAGTATTAGGTTGTTTATTGTTAGGCAAAGAATATTTCTATAATACAAAATAGAGGGGAGACAATTTGACTAATATTTTTTTTTATCAGTAGTAGACATTTTATGTTTTATGTTTTCTTAAAGGCGGCATTGGACCAAGTATGCGCCAATCGTACTACAATAATTGTAGCACACAGGTTGTCAACTGTAATCCATGCCGATGAAATACTCGTATTAAAAGATGGAGAAATATATGAAAGAGGAAGGTATTTACCCATTTTCAATATGACACATATTACTATAAATAATGATAAAATATAATATTATTCTTTAGACACGATGATCTTATTATAAGAAATGGCTTGTATGCTGATATGTGGTCTGAACAACGGAAGTCCACTAGTGATATCACTGCTAACGAAGAGCCAGTGACTACAATTGATGAAACCGCAACTAGTTCAAAAAGTTACCACCATCCACACGTTTAAGGAATATAAAATATATAATATAATATTTTAAAAAAATGTATTGGTTTAGGGACTTGATGTAAAGGTTTAGTCTGAGATATGTTGGGGTGCCCCCTTTTATTTGGGATAATGACCGGTTTTACTTATTAGTGAGGCATATTGTTTAATTTTACTATCAATTGCTGCTTAATTTGTATGTAATTTAATTGTCTAATAAATATTACTGTGGACTTCTCCAGTTCATTGAATAGAATATAATACTTGATTAAAACTTTTTTAAATGTATGTTGTTAAAACTACTTTTTATGACGGAATCTATTTACACCAAAATTCAGTTAATAATGTTTGATTTTGTGGTATCAATTTTTATTGCTTTCCCCAATTATCTTATAAATAGATTTTACGTAAATTTAAAATTTATAATATTAAAGCTTTTGCAACTAAATTTGTTAATCTAATATATATCATTTGGTTTCAATACAAATCTTAGTCATTTTAAAATAAATTTATTGTTTAGAAGTAACCTATACTCAAAGAAGATTAAAGTTTCATGCGGAAATAGAATAAAAAAAATACTATCTAGAAAATTGTCTATAATATCTTTGGAATTAAAAAAAAAAATAGTGTTTAAAAACTTAGATTTTCAACTGATATATATCGCTTAATTTCAATATCAATATAAAATATTGGATCTTTTATCGGTAGCAAGTATTTGATGTCAGAAAAAAATAATATCTGTTGTTTTAACTAAGACAATGAGTATAAGAAAATCTGTATATTGTTGCAATGGTGAATGACATGATGTATTTTATAATTTATAAAAAGTTTTTCTGTTTCCACATTTGTGTTTACTAATTAAATTAAATAACCAATGTTATATAAAAATTTAGTTCATCAAATTATTTTGTGTATTCATAGCTAATAAGTATTAATTAAACCAAAAAGGCCTTATAAAACCTGACCATCTATTTTTGTAATTAATGTGTAGTAAGACACCATGACATATATTCAAATATTATTATATTTTTTTTATAAACTTATAACTTATAAAAGTTTTCAATTACAATATGGTAATTAAAACTAGGCCTCAACGCCTATATATTTTGATGTTCTATTATTCTTGTGTATTATTATCCTAATTATTATTTCGTACCTGTGAAAGTGATTAACTATCAGATAATTATAATAATAATATTGATAATAATAATATTAATAATAACTTATATTAAATAATCAATATTATTTAACATTAATACAAAGTTTAAAAAAATTATTTTGTGTATCAACATACAGATATTTCAATTTTTCTAAACAAAATTAGATGCAACCTGATAATAACAATTATTTTATACACATATACTCGAGTATTAATAACTCCATTCAGATTTGCATTCATTTATTCTATGTAAACAGTTTAGAAATCATTTGTTGGACATGGAACAACTGTTCATAAAATAATTAAAATTGTACTTTGTTTCTTTACAAATGTATAAATGTAAACCATTTTAAAATATTTAACCAGTAATCTTATAAATTAAAGCCACAACTCAATTGTTATGAAAAAAATATTTTATGATTCTAAGTCATAGTTAAACATTTTTTAACAATCAATTTCCTTATGATTATTACTAATCAGTGGTCATCATATATATTACATGTTATAGATTTTAATTGAAATTTTAGCAACTATAAATTGGAAGTATTAATTTTACGATATTCAAAAAACAAATATATAAAAATAGTTAATTGTTTTTATTGTTATAAATTGTATAATTTGATTTTTAATGAAATATACGCTATTATTCTACTATTGGCTTAAAGTTCTTATTTAGTTATTTAGTTTTTGAACATACCAAACTGTCGAGAAAAACTGAAAACATAAATCATAATAATACAACTAACTACTAAGTACCTGTAGTATTATTCAGATTATTTTTCAAAATATAAAATTATAAATTCAGAATATTATGAAAATAATATAATATTTAGTTTGCGTTATTTCGATCGCCAGACAGCCGGACTGTTGTCCGCGACGGAACAGTATCGGTGTGTATTATAGTGGTGCGAGTTGTGCACATTTGTACAGTGTAAAAATTAAAAAAAGCCGAAACACGCAACCCGCGTTATAATGGAATTAGTGTGCACAAAACCAATTAAATTGTTATCAGCGAATTATTTTCGACGTCGCCGTGTCGTTNTTATAGTTTATTTTTACTCTCATTCATTTATTATATTCCGATTATCAGCTGATAATATTGGCTAGTCAATCATTATCGGAAATTCAAAACAACAATCGTGTTTCTGTTTTCTATCGACGACCGACATTACGTTTATTATTATTCGTGTATGTGTTTTCAATTTTTAAAACGAATTCAGTACAGAAAATACTGCAATGCAATTTTTCAACAATCTCGTTGGAGAAAAAAATGTAAATAAAAAATATAGGTAAGCCTACTCCAGACTTAAATATTAAACAAATTACTAAATGTAAAACGAGAGAATATGTAAGAAAATTTAATAATAATATATATAAAACCTATGACTGGATTTGTGGTTGTTCAGAAACTAATCGTTTGTATCGTTTTCCCCGTTTACTTTTTGGTCAAAAATTTAATGATGTCGCTTGGGTAAAGAATGGAAATAAGAACAAAAGGTAATTGGTAAATAACTAAAGTTTGTAAACAATTATTTAATACAATTTATAATATATTACGTTTAATATTGGTTATATTTTTTTTTTTTTTGGGTGTGCACTACTTCATTAAAAACCCACGAGCCGCCACTGATAATAACATAAAAATCTAACGTAAATAATGGTTCATAATACGTAGTAAATCTAACTTGGTACGCAAGTTAGATTTTGAAACAAGCCATTTGTATGTTTGTAGTACCGTATATGTTAGTACTATTGGTATTTCTTATAAATGATAGTATTATTTAACGATATTTGAGTTTGTAATAACTTACGAGAATATCTCAAAGGTTTCAACGGAAACATATTAAAGTTATTAATTAAAGATACATAAAAACTATTCCTAAATTATTTCCCATAGAATATTTTTTATAGGCTTTCATAAACTGTTCACAGTTATCGCCGATTTTATGACCTCTCTCGCGGCACCAATCGCATTGAACGTTTTTCTCAATATTTTCCTCGAACGACGATTTAACAGAATTGAATGGGCCCGATTTAGATGAATTAGTCAAAACACCTGAACGCGCGATTTAATAATTTTAGTACCGATCATTGGTGATCACGATTCACGTTGGCGAGGACCTCTGGGCGCGATGCCAGACTGAACAAACATATATGAGTATTATATAATTATATTTGAAGTATACAAAATTAATCATAATCACTCAGAGAATATCTCTGTGACGTTATTCTAGACTTAATTGGTCCGGTTGTCTTATCTATGACTACGGGATTATCATAATTACTTGTTTTCTCACCGATATCTTTCTTTGGTGAGTTATCACTTACGTCGTGCTTTCACGAACTAGTCACAGTTATCACCAAGCTTATGACCAAGCCCATCGATAGTTCTTGTTAATATTTTCCCGTGATGGCGACGAATTAACGAAATTAAATGCACCAGATTTACATGAATCATGATCATTTGTTTATAATATTAGTTATAAGTTTTACAAAATAAGGTGACGTAATATTTATTTTAAATAATACATGGTTATGAACATCGCCGTTAAACGGGTTGTATGAAATATTTTGGCCATGCAATATTAAACAATATTAAGCTGACGTGTTTGATACGATATTTGTCGGTGTACAAATCAATTCTATTAGGCAAGTCTACGGTCGACGATTTCACATTATCGTTAAGTCTACAACAATTATAGGGACGTAAGTATTGAATTGTTTTCTCGACAACATTGGTTTACTATTTCCTCTGTAGTATATGATTTTTGAAAACCAGTGTACATCTTGTATAATATTGACGTCATGTTGGGGAAATCTGCTCGAAAATCTTCGTATGGGTATACTTCAGAGTTTATACGAACGTTGAGGTTTTTTAATGTAAAGTCATCATATCGTCCAGACGGGTTCTGCAGGTTGTTTTTTTGATCGGTTTGAATGTCGATTATTGCAAATCTTTGAAAACTCTGAAGTTAAAATAGTCCTTGTGGCCACACTGGACAGTTGTTATTAGTCCATATTAATTTTGTCTCGAAAAAAAAAGAAAGTAAAATCCGTGTGGAAATAGTCGAAACGGGCTCACCATGTATAATATCCACCTTGCGGTACAAAATTATATTCATTTTAGTTTCATTCTCCCCCTCTCACAGATTGGTATAGGGATGCTCCTGCAATGACATACAGTAGGGCAATTATGAACCAAAGTGTTTAAGATGCGTTGTTTAAAATCGATTTATTTTTGAACCATACAATAATTTTAAATAATTAAATATCGAATAAGTTATCCATCTTTTTTTTTTTTTAACAAAATACCTATTATGAGCTTGGATATCTCGCCGCCAACCGTCTTGCTGCCACAACTCGGCAATTTTAGTATTTTAAAAGTATGAAAACACATTTCACGTTAGATACAACCAGTAATCGTATATTTACGACCTTACCCCGGGAAAGGTATATTTACGGTTGCATCCGAATCGCTTGCCGAAAAAAAGAGCGATTTTGATCGCCAACCAAGTTGCGTGCGCGGTTTTTTTGTGACAGAGTTAATTAGTTATGATTATAATCTATAGTTAAGTAAACTGTATACAGGTTCAACGATTCATAACTTTTGATGATAGTTAAGTTTGATTTCGAACACCTACGACAGAAAAAAAAAATTATATACATCATTAACGGATATAAATTCTTAAATAATTATATTGATTGATAAGCATGCACAAAAATAATGACGTGTAAATCTTATTTACTTAAAAATTCAATAATTTGATCTAAGTAAAAATTTAAAAAAAATTAAATTTAAAATCATAAATCAAAAAATAAGAGTATTTCTAAGAGAAAAGTTTTCCACAGAATTTAAAATTGAAAAAAAAAAAATTCGTGCATGCAACTCGGCCTTAATTATAATTTCCACACACAATTCGTAAACACCGATATTTACACAACTTACACAGCTAAGTCCACCTAAATTAGATTATATATACAAATACTATGGAAGTTATATGATTCTTAAGGCAACAACCCAATACTTTTTCCCCGTAAATATGGCCACTGCAGTATACAAAGTGATCGAATGAAGGTGGACACACTTATTATTTCGGAAAGCGTTAACTTTTTTTCGGAATATGTTTTATAAAACATTTAAGAAACATAAAGCTCTGAAATTTTTCATTTATGTTATTTTTTGTCACTCTTAATTTTGGGGGTGAAACCTCTACCAACTTTTGATTTTCAAATAGTAACAGGTTGACAGAAATCAAAAATTTAAACACCAAAATGAATTAAAACTAAATACTCTATATGCCGCGTGGGTGTGTTTCAGAAGCACACAATAACTTCTATAATGGTATGAAATATTTAATATACTCTTACTTCTGCCGAGATATACTTGATCCAAAAACCAGAAGGGGGGTGGTCTTTTTATAAAAAGTGCCATTAACAGCGATTTATGTATACGAACTAAAGACTTTACGCACCTGTGTTGAAAGATAATCCAATTACGGCGCTTTTTTGGAGGGGAAAGTGCATAAACACAATTTAAACTATTAAATCCACCTAAGTCAAACCAACCCTTCTTATCATACTATTACAGAGGTTGAGTGTTTCTGGGAGAAAACTACAACATCCCAACCCCCTTGTCAACGGTATTAATGTCCGCTATTCAGTGAAGGTTTAGTTTTGAAGTTCAGGGTTCCTTTTACTTTTGGTGAATGTCATAACAGAAAACCAATTTTTTTTTGAGGAGATATTCTACTTTTAAGTTTGGGTCGAGGGAGAGTAGTGGCGGATTATTAAAACGCTGCGCTCCGTGCTGCCACACAAATGATGCTCCACTACTCTCCCTAACCCAAATTTTAAAGTCAAATATCTCATCAACGAACTGATAGAAATCAAATATTTATATTAACTATTACTCCACCTATTTTTGTAATTTTTAGTATAGGTACATATTTCAAAATTAAAAGTAAGTCACTATGTAGGTTTTACCACCAAAAATATGGATGTCAAAAATAGCATGAATATAAAATTGTAGAATTGATTGTTTCTTAAATGTTCTATAAACCGAATTCCGAAAAAAGTTTACCCACTTAAATAGAATACCCTGTAAACTGAAACGATGTTAATGTATGTCTCAATTTTTGAGTATATCCTTGCTGTCCACATACTGTTCGTAAACAGAAAGTAAATCGTCCATGTTTTCTGTGACGGTTGTACAGTCCACAGTCGATTTTTGAGATTTCAATTCAAGGTTTGCTTGGTAACCTGACTGCTCATTTGTTGCGGTTTTCGTTTGGAGCTTACCGACTTTGGTCTCACGCACCTCTTTCTCGACCAACATGCGAGCTTGTGTGATCGTCGTCAGATGTTTGTTGTATTTGCAAACGTTCGCCTTGAACAAAAACCGATTTGAAAAGATTAAAACTTAATTTTTCAATAAATTGGTTTTAGATTCTGAGTAGAGTGAAGAAGCTCATGGTTTTACAAAGATGTTTATTTTTTATTCTATGGACAATTTTTCCACTAGAAATCTGGTAGAGGGAATTTTCTCAACAAATTAGAAAAACCAGGAAAATCATGGGAAAACCGTAAGAAAAACGGGAAAATAGGTACAATATTAAACAAAAATTATTCAAGAAAATATAAAACTACATAATTATTTTACCACAATATGGCATATATATATTGTTGACAAAGCAACACTGTCAACTGAACTCCGCTCAAAATCGTTTTTCGTTAGCAATGGTTTATCGTTGCTTACAGATATACATTACATTTCCCCTCTACTACCTTCCCAAATTATCACTTAACAACAGTGATTGCACGCTGCACACACGTGCGAAGTTGCCCGCTTTTTTATTTTTAGTTGATGCAGTTTTCGCTTTAAGCCCGCGATTTATATTATTATTTTTTAAATATCCGCAGCAAACACGCCGAATGAAGTTGTGTGACTGTCTCTGGAGAGTATGAGGGGAGGGGACTGATTATTAACAGGGTTCGGATGTATTACATTTGCATATTATTTTTGGTGCCACCTCTAGAACATTCTAAACAAGAATTAATTTCGTTTCATACCTCACCGATGGCATATGCTCACTCGCATGCGAAATTCTTTTCCCCTACGTTTCACATATTGTTTACTGTTTAGGATTTATAGGGCCAATAATTGGCGAATTTAATTATTTGCTTTGATTTTTAAACAGTAACGCTAAATGCATCGGAAAAAGATTCGTATTCGGTTGTTATCGCCCATATTATCGTATAATTACGTTCGGTTCCAATAATGAATTTATTTATTTTTAAAATCGCCCCAGTTTCATTGTACTGCTTTATTGTCAGATTTAATTTCGGGAAATTGTATTTTCCAATTATTGGAGCTGTTTGTAGCGCTTGTTTTTGTGATTTTAAGTAAATACTAACACGCTAAAATTTAACTTTTTTAGTCCTATTACTTCCGAGCCCTGGTTATTAACAGACCATCTCTTTGAATAGTAGTGCCCCTCGGTGCAGGAAACGCAGATACATCTTTACAATATAATTCTTCTTACTTCATTCAATTTAATTTCTGTTTTCCTAAATGTTATAATCACGTGCAATTTCTTTCCGCCCATGATTACGATTAGATGGGGGGCTCTAAAAGCGCGAGGCTCTGTGTGAATGCGCAGCTTGCACCGCCTTCTAGCCGGCCCTGCCTCGGCGTGTGCCGTTTATATACCAGGTGAAAAAAATCCGAATAGTTTGCGATACGGTTTTCGTACTCTGTGCTTACGACATAAAACAAATTGTTTTAGATTCTGAGTGGAGCGAGGAATATATTGGTTTTACAATTGTTTATTATTTTTATATATTTTTTCTGTGTACAAATTTCCTACCAGCAATTTTCCTCCAATTTACAATGTTGGCATTGTTTCTATAAAGAAAATCTGACTGAGGAAGTACTTTAGGGAGGTCTTTTTTTTCATTTTCTTAGCTGTTAACGTATAAATGGATAAAACTGGGAAAAATATGAGAAAAACGGGATAATGGGTAGAATATTAAACAAATATTATTAAAGAAAATATATTAATACACATGTAATTATTTTACTATAATATGATACATATATATATATATATAGCAACATTATCAACCGGACTCCACTCAGAATCGTTTTTTCGATAACAATAGTTAATCGATGCGTACAGATATAATTTAAATTTACCCTCTATCATCTTCCCAACTTCTCACCCATACCATTGGCTGCACCAGTCCCCGTTGTCCTAGGACAGCTTATCATTTTTCGTGGATGTAAGACAATCACAAAAAAAATCACCTACTTGATGCGCGTCGAGACGTTCGTTTATTCGGTCGCACACACCGTTCAATAAGGTGGCCAGCGTCGACGCGTATCGCCAGTTGGCGTCGAGTCTTTTGCACGCGCTGGTGATCATTTTTCGCGCGAAATGTTCGTCCGAATCGCTTTCACTGGCGGTGCCACCGTGACCGCTCCCAATACAATCGTTGGCTTTGGCGCGGACGGCGTCAATGTTCACCCGGTAAACGCCCCTCTGGATCATTGCCAATATCGTTTCCTTGGGCACGAGCGGCGGTAAGTCGCTCGCTCCCGTCAACGGCTGGTCGTCCTTGTACGACTGGAGTCTGGCCCAACGCGTCGAATTGTCGAAGCGATCGTTTGACATTGGGCTCTCCGCGGGATCGACCAGAAAGATGAACAGCGACGTGACGATGATCGTCGACAACATGCCGAACAGTATTTCCGTCAACATAACGGTAGGTACTCGGATCCCTTCAGTAATGTTCTCGGCGACGATATAAACTTTTCAGTTGGGATTATGTTATAATACAAGACTCGCTTCGCCGTATCCAAACAAAACACGTTTTATCCCCTGTCGATTATTCCGGTTCCCGGGAAACGAGTTTCATAATGAAAATTAATAACCCAATGTAACTTGGTTACTGTATTATTTTATAAACAAGTCGTTTTGGTGATTTTGGTCATTACGCTGGTCGTACATTCTGGTTATAGGTTACAGCAGAAATAGCATAACCAAACGAAATTAACGGTTATTATTTATTATGACGTTTGGTTATTGATAAAGTAATGATTAGACATATTCTAGCAAGTACTTTTTGAAATAAAACTTTTTTACGCACGCTGGGAATGAAATTTCAAGGCCGAACGTGACGAAAATTGTCGCGGTCGGCATCGTTTGACCAACAGCGCTGTGATCACATCATCAGTTGTTAACACATTCACACACACACTATAGTCTGTCCCAGGAGAGAACGGTCCGCTCTCAGACCAAATCGAAGCGCTACTGCGCATCCCCACGCCGCAACACTATCCATTTATTCCCTCCCGGATCTATCGACAGGTTTTGTACACTGCCGTTCAAATAATACACTGTTGTCTGTCAATAGCCCACTGTTTATCGCCAATATGACAAAAATGATAAATTGTAATTTTAACGAATAAAAAATGAAATGTTTTAATATAATTATTTATTATTTATTAAATATATATCTCTGTATTATACCTACTGTATTATACAAAAAAAACAAAGTCTGGATTATTATAGAAGGTGCTTGTATATACGATAGTTTACGATTTGAAAAGTTATCAAGAGGTTATAAAACAGCAAAGGTAAATAAACGTGCGATGCGCGATGTCTAATAATAATAACAATTGAATTTCTACAAAATATCCTAGCGGTGTATAGTCATAAACCGACGACGGAAGAAATGACAATCGGCTATGTGGAGGGGGAAAACATGCGCAGAAGCGGACCTTTCTCTCCTGGGACAGACTATAGTGATACTGCGAGTGAATGCAATCGAAAAACCATTCTGAGAAACTTTTAATATACAGTTCAGGTCGAACCCCTCTTTCAGAATATACCACTTTTATACCTATGGATGCAGTCCTCGATCTATTCTGGTCATTTAAAATCTTGACGTTTAATATGTTATCAAGGTCATTTCCCTGATTACGAAAATATATACATTACTTATGTAAATGCAAATAATAACATATCCTGAGCAAATTAAGTCTGTCTAACACATAATATCGTCTCTAAACGATTGGTTTGCCTAGTCGCCTGCTAAGGTAGCGAACCTTGTTATTCTTGGTTTTTCAATTGGTGTTTAACACAGTGGCTTGAGATTTCGTTATTACCTTATGTGACATCATTATGGCGCACGGTTTATATGTTTGAAAAAAAAAAACCCGATAAACGGAGTCGGTGGAAGCGATCATTATTATTATCATCATTATTTACATATTTTCAAATACAGATACTACTTTTTAAATGAAATTTGATTGAAATTATATCGGTGTCTAGTGTGGGCAGTGTCAAGACCCCCTGGACCCCACGTCCCCACATTAAACAACAGTGTACATCCGTTTTATTTACAACAACAATAAGAATATAGGAAACACAAAAAAAAAAAAAAATTATGATGATGTATCTACAAATTAATCGTTCAAAAAATGTTTTTTCCAGTATGGTGTGGCCTAATGTGCCATTAAAATATCGTAACGAAATAAAATCATTTATTGAAAACACTTCAATTTTATACTCTGTGTTTCTTCTTTATGGACATTTTATCAAAACAGAATCATTATTTTCGTCTCTAGAATAAAATTCTTAACATTTGATATACATATGAAATGAAATTACAAGTACATAATATTGTGTACAGTAACCACTCACTATGAAAATCAAATAAACAAAAATATTGTTACAGACTTTACTTTACTCAATAATCTTATATTAATAATATATTTAATATCTAATTATTATTGATAATAATAATAATGATAAACCCCCAAAATAATTGTTATTCTAAAATCTAACATTGATATCAATATTATAAAAAGGGGGTTAGGTTATATTTGGTTTAGGTGGTAGTGATTATGTGTTAACAGGGGTCGTAAGCAAATTGGGACACTTTATTGGTTTGTTGTATTATTTTATAAAGTTGACAATCAGCATGATTTTTTAGTAAAATGTATTATTTCAACATAATTTAACACAATTAAATATATTAAATTTAAAATCATACAATATATGTATATATATAACATTAGTGAGATCAGTTAGAATATGCCTATCTTATTTGGTTCTCGGATAAAATATGAACAGACTCCAAATTTCAAAGCAGTTCTGAAGCATTTAAATTTAAAGTTGAACGCCCACGACATACTGAATATAATAGTATTATATCATATTTTAATTTAAAATCATTAAACAAAAGAAGAGATTACCTCTACTATACATTTTTATCAAAATTATTAAATAATTTTATAGGTTGTCCTTATTTGTTGTCACAATTAAATTTTCAAATAAATATTAAATCTACTAGAAATAATTACTGTTTTTTAATTAGTAATATTTCTAAGAATTATTTACAATCTTCACCTGCTAATTAACTGATGGTCATAGGAAATACTATTAAAGTAAATTGTAGTTGATTGTATATTATGTGTTATAAAAGAGTGTTACTTTATACATTATGTATTTATAGAGAGATTATTTTGTAGGTGGAGTTGTTTTTCAGTCAATAATAATAATAACGGATAAAAACACGCAATAATTTTTTACCATTATATTATAGTTAAATAATTTAACTAAAAATACACAATTTTTATACAGTGTGATATATTTCTTAAATTAATTTCTGAACTAATTTTCTCAGGAGTTAAGAACAAGGTATAACTAAAAACCAAAAGAGCTGTTAATGTCTCAATTTTGTCTTGCACAACAGAATAAAACTAATTTAAAATATATTTTAGTAGTAAAGGTTTTTTGACATGTTATAAATTGTAATAGACATCTTAAAACTTAGCATGACATATTATGTTTAGCTAAATCAACTACAATTTATCAACTTTTAGTCAAATTGCCACAGTTCAGTTCAACTTGTACATACATTAATATATATCATCTTAAAATTCTACAATAATTAAATTTTAAATGATTTTTTTTTTGAAATTAACATTCTCAAAACTAAAATTATTTTACCTGGAAATGTATTTGACATAATGAATATAATTTAAAGGAGTAAATAAGTCATGCTTAACATTTTATGTAGGCTACGACACTAACATTGATATATATTTATTTTAAACAATTGAAGAATTGTATACTGTTTGCCAATATCAGAGCTAAAAATAGATTCAGATATATTGGGTTTTTTTTTTTTTTACAATTGAAACTCCATTATTTTTTTCCAAATCTTTGGACTGATTTTGAATGTTGTTTTTTGGTTGTTTAGAATCTGTTTCTTTTTTTTATATCAGTTTTGTTCTTCATTTGTGGTAATTTGTTTGTCTTTTTGGCTGAATCTTGTAGTTCTTTTTCTTTAGGTTTGTCGTATGTACGCAATGATCTTCTTATGCTTGGAATTTCATGTTCTATCTCACTTACTTTAACTAAAGAAGTACCAGTCTCGTTAAGGACATCTTTTGAATATACTGAAGACACAGATTTCAATATTATTTTACTTGGACCAGCGTTCAACTCAATTTTATTGATTTCACCATTAACACCTTGAAGAATATTACATTAAATACTTACACTAATAATTATAATCAATATCCTAAGGCTATCCAATTTACTTACCATCTTTCACCTGTTTTTTTTTAATTTTGTCAAGATTTTCTGAAATTGATTGTGCGAATTGTTTAGGCAATTCAAAGGGTATTTTAGGTATATCACAATTTGAAGAAAATCTAGAATCCTGTAATATAAAAAAGCAATTGTATATTTTTCTTTTTTTTTCACCTTCATCCCAATTATTTAGGGTTGGTCCTCCCCATCTTAAACTTCCACTTGACCCGATTCCTCAATTCTTTCTTTCAAACGTCCACTGTCCACATTCTCAATCACATCTAACCACATCGTTTTTGGTCTTCCCATTCCCTTATTTTTATTTACATTTATTTTCATTACAATTACTATTACTGATTCTGATTCCTCGCTCCTCGTGACATGCCCAAACCATCTCGGTCTATTTTCTCTAAATTTATTCTACTATATCTTACCTCTATGTATTTATTACTTATTCTACCTTCTCTTGTCACTCCATTTCTCCACCTAAAAATTCTTATCTCCAATACACTCATTCTCTGATCTATTTATTTGTGTTCTATTTATTATGTTAAGAGAAGAAACAACAATGGATAGACTTTCAAAAGATCATCAAACTAATGATTTTATAAATTTTAAAAACGCCCTGATTTGTTCAGAACATTTAGGATGAAGGTTCTCTTTCCCAAAATATGTTGACCAACAGTGTCACACTGGTTCGGCTTCAAAATACAATGTAAGCAATCTCAATTAAGGCCTAAAGTGATAGAATCTTCCCATAGAAAAATTTCAATAAATACAGACAAATGTTGAATGAGCAAAATACAATACACTTTATTTTTGAAGTTTAAAATAATTTAAGCAAACAAAAATAAATATAATTTCTACAAAGAGGTTGTATACATTTTGACAAACATAAAAAGAAAAATGTTACAAGATTAAAAAAGATAACAAATAAAAATTTCCAAAAAACAAAAACAAAAACAATTTCCAGAATGTCATAGACAATAATAATTTAATGACTATAAAATCCCATTTCAACACTTTTATAATATGGTGAAAGTCACAGGCCTCGCCCTCAAAAGTTAGGTGGGAAAACAATGGGATCAAATAACTAAACGCACATTTAAATACAACTTTATTCAGAAACTCTTCTAGATTACATCCAATACTTCCATATCAAAACATGTTTTATAAAAAATATTTTCTTTTATTACCTAACAAATTTTGTAATTACTAAAAACATATTTTCTTAACTTTTTTTTTTTTTATTTAGCTACACTAACTACACTATATTTTAAATACATTTTTTACTTTAAAATCATTCCATTCTTGTTCATTGTTAATTTTTAGAATAAAGTTATAGACACCAGAAAAATATCCCTTCATGTATTTATTCATATAATTATAGGGTAGTTTTATTAATTCAGCTATGATTACTGTCACCTCATAACTATGTTCACAATATGTTCAAAGTGCAGATGAATCATAAGTACCTAAAATATATTTTTAAGTAATTGTTAAATTTGACAAAAGTGTATTATTGAAAAAGGTTTTAAATGAATTGTGAAATATTTTTTAACTTTAATATGTCCATAATTTAAGAAATACTAGATGGTTATAATTTATAATAAATGGATGGAAAAAATTACATCCTTTGCTAACGATGTTTTCAACTAGAAATCTTGTTCCAAATGAAAAATAACAAAATATCGATTTTCATCTTTTTTTATATATAGCCACTGACAAAAAAAGTCGATTTTTTATATCTAATATATTTTTCATATTACGGTGCAAAAATTTCATTATGTAACAGTTTTACCATTAATGTACCAATAAATATTTCTCCAATATACTAACAACAAGAATCTTTTTTATTGCATTTTTAATCTAGTTCATAAACAAAAGTCGTTATTTTATTTTTATAATTGAGAAAAATACATCTTATATTAATTTAAATTTTGGTTTTTTTATATAATTCAGTTAAAAATATTAAGACTTGAGATTTGAACAGATATTATGGCCATTCGAAATATGTACAACTGAACTTTGTTCAGAATAGTTTAATATTGGTTACAGGTATAAATTAAATAACTTTAAGTATACCATATTCCCAACTATCAACCTACAACAGTGTCCGCACCAGTCTCCAGCTTTATTTTTTTTTAGAAGATATACCAAACCAATAAAAATCAAAGACGATTTTCATTTATTTTTCGTTTAAAAACAGGATTTATAATGCTATAGAAAACAGATGTTGGGGTAATCAGAATTTTTCTGAAACTATTATTTTAAAGATTATCGCAATTTGAAGATAAATGCATTTTCAATGTGCATCTAGAAAACCAGCGAGGTTACTCGCTCACTCGGACTATTTCATATGAAAAAGTAACAATGATGATGTATCAGGATATTCTTTTCATAAAATTAAAAATATATTACCTAAATAAATATATATAAAAAACATTTAAGCATTGTACCACAGTATTCGCAAACAAATTTATTCTAGGTACATTACCAAAATCAAAAATTTGAAACTAATCGTCTACGTCAATTTTTGTTTTCCATTCAGTGAAAATAAACAGATTAAATAAAAGTCAGAGTGCTCCAACCAAAACTCGAAATATAGGTACCTAATTTTTTTAACCAAAAAACAAAATTAAATGCACATGTTTTTAGTGTTTTTAAGAGCATATATCGATAGTTTTAAGTGCAGGAACTTCCAAAACAAAACATTTTATTGTTAAAAAAATATTGTGTTTAAGTTTATACTATAATGAAAGTGGATTTTCCTGAATTTAGTATTATCAAATACTATATAAGATAAAACCTACGGAACAGTCGATAATTAAATTGTGATTGTAAAAACGCCCTCAGTTTTGGTATTGGTCGCCTACCTTTGCCCTTTATTAATATTGTTGTTCATTGATAGGTACTATTTGATAGTAATAATCAAAAATCAAATAATAAACTTCCAAACAGATTTTATATTATTAAATATTTCTAAAACTATAAATTACTACAACTACAGTAATCATATTTAATTTCTATTAAACCTTGTACAATTTATAATTGTCATGTAATAAACAAAACAAGTGCAGATAGGCATTCATATACAATACAATAAATGTGATAACATAAATGCTGTAACATGAATCAAACGGTAACAAAAATAATAAGATATGCAACCAATAGTAAAACTAAGAACTCTGTAAATATCCGCGAATTATCATTGACTCTCTGGCATTATCATATATAGTATTTATATTATTTAAGGATTTGAAATAATAATTGACTTATAGCTATTTCAGCAATCAGCGAATTCTGGACATTTTAGAAGCAAACTTTTGAATAGGTACCCACCTGATTTAAAATATTTAAACCATAAACATATAAGTATTAAAAAAAGTAACATTTCTACTTTATGAACGGACCCATTATATACGTTATAAATTCCTTAATATCAAATGAACAATATGAATAAACATCAATAGTACATACCAAATGGTAATAAGTCTTTGTTAGATGTGTGAGATAACAAATACATTTTCATTGTTGGGGTCCATTTGAAACTTGTTTCATAGTGTTTGATCGGTGGATTTGTGCTCGTTGCTTCGGAATTCATTGCAATGGATGATTGCTTAAGAAAAACAAATATTTAGAGTAACACCAGTAAAATAAAACGTCTAGTTATTTTTACAACAAAAGATCACAAATTCAATAGACAAGAGAAACAAGAATACTTAACTGGGTATACTGCAGTGCTGCCAACCATGGTCATCCAAAAAATGGGCGTAAAATTCTAAAAGATCGATTTTTATCAAAAACACGTTACCAACATGATTAAATATATACCTTATATATCTTTAATCGTGGTTACCAATACAAATTTTGATAAGTGACCGAAAATTGATAAAAAAAAAATTGAAAACTTGTTTAATTTCATAAATGTATGATATTTAATCTAATCTTATTTTTAAATAAATTGTTTTTACACATTTGTATGAATTAAAATACAGCTGTATAATTCACAAGTCATTACATTTATATGTAAAAATATCGTATAATTCAGTTAGAAGAATTATTACATATATATAATAAAATAAAAAGTAATTTTAAATTTACCAACCGATTTTAAAAATAAAATCACATATCAATACATTTTAGATAATAAATAAATAACAAATAATTTATGTTTCTTAACATATCTATGTCCAATAATTGACTATGATAACAGACTTTTCTTTTGATAAATATCAGTAGCTTTTTAAAAGACATCTGAAGGTGGTAATATCATCACAACTGCCAGGAAATAAAGTTACATCCGCCTGGTAGAGTTTTAGTAGCATATAATCATGTATATTGTTACCTGTGTATATTATTATTGTCAGTATAATTTTTTATAGATTATGCATTATCATTATTTTTTCATAGATGATAATATGAATTATCGCTTTGGAATATAGTTAGCATTTGCACAAGCTCTAATATATGACATTTACAACACTGAACTTATAATTTGCCAAAGTTTTTTATTATATTGATAAGTAATATAATTGAGTAGTCCTCAGTGGTCAAAACCCTAAAATTTGAATAGTAATTCATTGTTTAATCTATACATCAATATTTATAACATTATTACTCTTACAATTTTATTTTAATTCTTTACTATATCGACTGGTAAAAGGCAAAAGGGGCTAAGCAACATGGTGTATACTACAGGATAACGGACACTTAATGAATTTGATCACACGAGCACTAGTGTTCCTACGACCATTTAGTAATGAGATATTTTATTTTTCGGTACAAGTGACATTTATTGAAAGAAGTGTAAAAACCATAGGGGTCAAGCGCCTTTATTGGGTATTATCGACACTAATGAAAATTAGTGGTATCCCCAAATAGGAGAAATCCATTCGAGAAACGTGTCGGTTTTCAGAGGGGATAGCCGTTGACTAAGCCGTTCTAAGCAAGATGGATTATAATATTATAACGTGTATCTACTTTTGAACAGAGTATACGTAAATCTATTATTACAATTTGAAATAGGATGTACCTAATTACTACACGTCGAAAAATTAAGACGTCCAGATATAACGACAAATGATAATGTTACAGACTCTTGGTGCAATTTTGTTTAGGTCGTTCTAATATATCTAAGGATAGTAGGCTTTGAAAAAATACAAACATTGCCGGCAAAAACAATCACTAAACATAAATTATAAATACCACGGATATAAACGACTTTCTGTTATCAGTGATAATGTCCCGCGCTGTCAGTTACATGACGCATTTCTATTTTTTTCATAGGGAGTCGTTGGAAATTAAAAATTTTTGTAAGTATTACGTTTAATAATTATAGTATTATAATCGTTACATATTTAATGAATGTAATGATTATGATATTATGTGTTTATTACCTACCTATATTAGTTTTTCAATACGGTTCTGGCATAGATCATAATGTTATAATGTTTCTATTTTTCCTAGTTGCTGTACAAAAATATCAGTTGAACTTTTTCCATTTACATTTGTAGCGCCTTTCTTTTTGCCAATGACTTTGAGACTTTCCTACAATATTCTTCATTGTGTGTACAGTGTTCTACAGAGACAAGATATTGTCAAGTGACAATTAATTTAAATACATATATTTACAAGTAATATAGTGGTGTCAAAATAGATAATATAATTAATTATTATTTTAGGCGAATTGTTTTTGAATAAAAGACACCAAAAATGAAAAGGACTCTCTGATGATATCTAAGATTAAAAGAAACAAGAATACAATACATAGATGATCCAACGCCAGTGAGTATTGTATATTAATTATAATTTTATTTATCAAAAAATTATAGCTATAACACTCATGCGACCAAATTATAATTGTTTCACATGGTTCCAATAATTTAGAAGATCCACGGCACAAAAGTATGCAAGACTCTCTTATTGGTACAATGGATTAGAAATCGAATGGTGGAAAGAAATTTAGATTTTAACTTTTTGTATAAAGTGTCTGGCTCATGCGATAGGAATGTGTATTTTAATCATAAATGTCTCTTATCAAAATATTTAATATAAATTAAAAACTTTCTAATACCATAATTTGATTAATTTTGAATAGTGTGGCGGTTTGTCATATTAAATAACACTCTGACTTCGTCTTAAAATAATGAATAATCTAAAATTGTGTAGTAGTTATTNTATAAATAATTATTATTTTAGGCGAATCGGTTTTGAATAACAGACACCAAAAGTAGTCCTTTTCACTTTTGATGATATCCAAGATGAAAAGAAACAAGAATTCGATACATAAATGATAAAACGCTAGTGAGTATTGTATATATCAAAAAATAGCTAAAACACTCATGCGACCGAATTATAATTGTCTCACATGGTTTTAATATTTTAGAAGATCCACGGCACAAAAGTATGCAAGACTCTCGTATTGGTACAATGGATTAGAAACCGAATCGGTGAAAGAAATTTAGATTTCAACTTTTTATATTCAAATGTCTGGCGCATGTAATAGAAATGCATATTTTAATCGTAAATGTCTCTTATCAAAATATTTAGTACAAATTAAAAACTTTTAAAATACATAAATTGATTAATTTGAATACCATAGCGGTTAATTGTCTCACATGGATCTAATATTTTTGAAGATCTACGGCACAAAAGTATGCAAGACTCTCGTATTGGTACAATGGATTTGAAACCGAATGGTGGAAAGAAATTTAGATTTCAACTTTTTATATTAAAATGTCTGGCTCATGTGGTAGGAATGTGTATTTTAATCATAAATGTCTCTTATCGAAATATTTAGTACAAATTAAAAACTTTTAAAATACATAATTCGATTAATTTTGAATAGCATAGCGGTTAGTCTTATTAAACATCACTCTGACTTTGTCTGATAATAATGGATAATCTAAAATTGTGTAGTAGTAATTTTTAATATGATCAGTAACTTTCTAATGTATAATTTCACCATATTTTATACAAATTAAATACATATTGACACAGTTTTTGTTTGAATTTATATAGAATATTAGTTTGGCTATCATAATCATATTTTTAAATTTTAAATATCTAGTTTATTGTGATACGAATGTGTATTATTTCCTTACATGTGTCTAATGTAGTAATATTCTAATGTATAATATCACCATATTCTATACAAGTTAAATACATATTGATACATTTTTTGTTTGAATTTATATAGAATATTAGTTTGGCTATCATAATCATATTTTAAAATATTGACTTTTAAATTTTAAATATCTAGTTTATTGTGATACGAATGTGTATTATTTCCTTACATGTGTCTAATGTAAAATTTCAAATTATTTAGAGTATTTAAAAAAAAAAAAAAAAACACAATTTGTTTAAATTTGATCAGTACTTATGTCTGCCTTAGACTTTTATTAGTAAATGTCCTAGTTCATTATGATGGGAATGTGTATTATGATCAGACATACCTTTTTAAATATAATTTCACCAGCTTTGATAAAATTTAAGTACATACAGAAACAGATTATGCTTGAACTGATACAGAATATTTATCTGCCTATTAAAATATCTTTTAGATTTCCATTTTTAATACATTAACTAGTTTTTTGTGTTAGGAATGTGTATTTTAATCATAAATTTGTTTTATTTATATTTCCACAATATCTGATGCCAATTAGAAAACTTAATAATTCATAATTGGTTTAAATTAGATCAGTACATATGTCTACCCTAGACTTTTATTAGTAAATGATCTAGTTCATTATGATGGGAATGTGTATTATAATCAGACATACCTTTTTAAATATAATTTCACCAGCTTTGATAAAAACTAATTACTTATAGACACAGATTTTGTTTGAAATTATATAAAATATTAGTTTGTCTTTAAAAATATCTTTTGGATTTTAACTTTTGATATTAAAATATCTGGTTTTTTGTGATAGGAATGTATATTTCAATCCCAAATCTTTCTTAATGCATAGTTTCACAATATTTGATATATTTTAAAAAACTTAAAAATATATAATTTATTTAAATTTGAATAGCATGATGGTTTACCTAAACAAAACATATTTCTGACGTGTACTTTTATTTATAAATGATCATTTATTAATGTAATATCTAGTTCATCGTGATATAAATGTTTATTATGACCAGACATACATTTTAAAATAAAATTTCACTATATTTGATAAAAAATAATACATATTGACACAATTTTCATTTGAACTTATATATTCTATTAGTTCTCCTATTATAATCATCCTTTAGATTTCAACTTTAATATTGAATTATGATGACTTGACCTTTGTGATAGGAAAGTGTATTCTAATCATATATGTGTCATATTCAATTTCACAATATTTGATACAAATCAAAAATTTTGTAAATACATAGTTTGTTGAAATTGAAAGGCATTTTGCTTTCATCAACCTTTTGAATTTGACTTTTCATAATAAATAATTTTTTTGATTTGATTGGAATGTGTATTATGATCAAACATATTTTCGTTACATATTTTACAATATTTGTTACAAATTAAATATTTTTAAACGCACTCAGTGTTTTGGTTTATTTTATATAGCTATTATTTTGCATTTAAAATCTCCATTGTAATGTGTCCATTGATCAGATACATGTTTTGGTATATAATTTTATTAAATTTACTACATGTTAAATGCATAAAGAAACCTTGTGTTGTAGACATTTTGTAGAATTTTAGTTTGCCTTTAAAAAACACCTTTTAGATTTCTAATTTTAATATTAAATGTTCTAGTTTATTGTGATAGTTATGTGTATATTAATCAGATGACATGTGTCAATTATTTAATTTCACCATATTTGTACATATTAAAAAATTAAAAATACATAGTATGTTTAAATTTTAAATAGCATAGCGGTTTTCTATACTAAAAATCTGTTTGACTTGGACTTTTATTATAAATGGTCTAGTTTATTGTGATAAGAATATGTATTATGATCAGACATATGTTTTTATACATAATTTCACCGGATTTGATACAAATTAAATACATATAGACAGTGGTTGTTTGAATTTGTCTAGAATATTAGTTTGCCTAAAATAACCATATTTTAGAATTCCACTTAAATATTAAATTTTCTGGTTCATTGTGATAGTTTGTGTATTTTAATCAGACATGTATCTTAATATATAATTTCACTATAATCCATACATAATTGATTAGTTGTTTTACATAAATAATCACTCAGACTTCCACTATTAATTATAAATTATCAACATTTTGGTGTTAGGATTGTGTGTTAAGATCAGACCTACTTAATGCTGTATAATTTCACAAAATTTGATACAAATTAAAATTATATAAAAGTGTATAATTTGTTAAAATTTGAATAGTATAGTGGTTTGCCTATACTAAACATTTGTCTGACTTGGACTTCTATTAATAAATGGTCTAGTTATTGTGATAAGAATGTTTATTATGATTAAACGTGTTTTTGTACCTAATTTCACCGGTTTTGATACAAATTAAAGATAACATATAGATACAGAATTTGTTTGAATTTACATAGAATATTAGTTTGCCTATTAAAATATATTTAAGATTTCCACTTTCAATAATACATTAAAAAGTTCTTTGTGTTAGGAATTGTGAATTATGATCAGACACATGTTTTGATATGTGATTTTACAATATATGATACAAATTAAATACATATGGACACAGTTTTTGATTGAATTTTTACAGAATATTATTTTACTATAATAATCATCTTTTAGATTTCAACTTTTAATATTAAAATATTTGGCTCATGTGATAGGAATGTATATTTTAATCATAATTGTCTCTTATTAAAATATTTAATACAAATAAAAAAAATAAAAAAATACACAATTGTATTAAATTTTAAATAGCATGGCGGTTTTCTTTACTGTACTTGACTTTGACTTGGACTTTTAATAATGAGTAATCTAACATTTTGTGATAGAAACGTGTATAGTGATCAGACATATGTTTTAATATATAAATTCACTAGATTTGATTTAATTTATATGAAATATTAGTTTGCCATATAAATTTGTCTTTATATATAATTTCACATTATTTAATACAAAGTAAAAAACTTAATAATACATAATTTGATTAAATTTTGAATAGCATAGTGTTTTGCGATATTAAAAATCTTGACTTGGACGCTTATTAATAAATGATCTAGTTTTTTGCGATACGTATGTTTATTGTGATCACTTACGTTTAGATGTATTATTTCACAATGTTGGATAAATATTAAATACACATATACACAGATTTTGTTTGAATTGATACAGAATATTAATTTTTAAATATCTTTTAGATTTTCACTTTTATTACATTAACTAGTTCTTTGTGATAGTAATGTGTATTTTAATCATAAATATGTCTTATTTATAATTTCACAATATCTGATACCAATTAGAATACTTAATAGTTCATAATTTGTTTAAATTTGAATAGCATGGCGTTTTGGCTCACTAATCATCACTGACTTCAAATTTTAGTAATGAAAAATCTAACATTTTGTGATAGAAACGTGTATTTTGATCAGACATATGTTCTAATATATAAATTCACTAGATTTGATTAAAATAAAATACATTTAGACACAGGTTTTGTTTGAATTTATATAAAATATGAGTTTGCCATAAATAGTCATATTTTAGATTTCCACTTTTAAAACTAAAATATCTTAATCTTTGTGATAGGAATTTGTGTGTTTTCCAAAAATGTGTCTATTGTAAAATTGGATAAAATTTGATACATTCACTAGATTTGATTAAAATAAAATACATTTAGACACAGGTTTTGTTTGAATTTATATAAAATATGAGTTTGCCATAAATAGTCATATTTTAGATTTTAACTTTTAAAACTAAAATATCTTAATCTTTGTGATAGGAATTTATGTGTTTTCCAAAAATGTGTCTATTGGAAAATTGCATACAATTTGATACATATAAAAAATTAAAAAATACATTATTTGATAAAATTTGAACGGTAAAATGGTATGCCTATTATAATAAACATTCCTCTGCCTTGGACTTTCATTAATAAATAATCTAGTTCATTGTGATGGAAATGTGTATTATGATCAGACATACCTTTACCATGGACACAGATTTTGTTTGAATTTATATTAAATCTTTGTGATAGAAATTTGTGTGTTTTCCAAAAATGTGTCTATTGTAAAATTTCATTATTTGTTTAAATTTGAACAGTAAAATTGTATGCCTATAATAAACATTCCTCTGCCTTGAACTTTCATTAATAAATAATCTAGTTCATTGTGATGGAAATGTGTATTACGATCAGACATACCTTTACCATAGGTACAGTTTTTGTTTGAATTTTTGAATACATTAACTAATATAATAACAATATAATACAATTTCACAATATTTGGTACAGATCAAAACATTTATAAATAAATAATTTGTTGACATTAGAATTGAAAGTCTTTTTGTTTTAATATAAAAAGCTTCTGACTTCGACTTTAAAATATGAATAATTTTTTTGTTGTCTAAGGAATGTATTTTATGATCATACATATTTTGCTATTTAATTTAACAATAATAGATGCATATTAAATACTTATAAACACATTATTTGTTTTGATTCTTTTTACATAGCACTTTGCAATAAAAATACCTATGACATCACCTTTTAATAATACATTATCTAGTTCATTATGATAGGAATGTGTATTATGATCAGACACGTGTTTAGATATAAAATATCACAATTCCAAATGAAATAATAATAAATGTATAAATTGTTTAAATTTGAATAGTATAGTGGTTTGCTTATAATAAACATCTGTTTGACTTGGACTTTTATTAATAAATGGTCTAGTTATTGTGATAATAATGTGTATTATGATCAAACATATGTTTTTGTACCTAATTTCACCGGATTTGATACAAATTAAATACATATGAACACAGATTTGCTTTTGGATTGATATAGAATATTAATTTGCCTATTAAAATATATTTAAGATTTCCACTTTTAACTAGTTCTCTGTGATAGTAATGTGTATTTTAATCATGATTATCAGACACAGTTTTTGATTGAATTTATATAGAATATTATTTTACTATGATAATCATCTTTTAGATTTCAACTTTTAATATTAAAATAGCTGGCTCATGTGATAGGAATGTATATTTTAATCATAATTGTCTCTTATCAAAATATTTAATACAAATAAAAATATTAAATTTTTAAAGAAATTAAGTCAATTATCATAAAATCATTGATCTTATACATAAATGTCCGTGAATACATTATTCTGGACACTAAGTTTATAGTTAAATTTTGCCTGGTAGATTCATTTTATGTATAATTACACAAATAGATAAATAAAATTATGCAATATTACAGTAAAATTGTATTATTGCAAGTAAATGTTTTTATAACAGTTAAAAATTATTAACCCATATTATATTACTATTAAATTAGTATTATATGTGAAATTCATTAATAAAGACATATTTTATTTAGTTTTATGAGTTTAAATATTCATTTATTAATTTCCGTATTACTATTCAGATTTCTTTTTAAGGATTATTTTAATAAACTATATGTTTCTTTTGTAAAAAGTTTCGTCATTTTTCCATATATATATATATATAAAAATAAACATCAAATTTTATCTTAAGGAAAGATACAGTTATAAATGTTTTGTGTTTATTCCAAAATATTTTTGTTATTTACATTAGTACAAGGTGTTTTTTTTAAATATTTACAAATTAATAAAACCCAGGAAAAAAATTGTTATGAAAATCCTAAAATTATAATTTAATAATATCAATTTAAATTGGTAAATTATAATCAAACTGATCAATACATTGTTTTAAAATTATACACTCCTATGTTAATAAAATTTTACTCATTGTTTATTGTTATATTTACGGATATTTAAAACAACATGATTTTAACATGTACATATTTATATGATATAGATCATTTCAATTTTCCAGCATTTTACCGTATACTTAGTATCTATAGCTAATGATACCTGTAATATGATTATTGAGATGTATTTAAACTAAATTTTTAAAGATTATTTCTTTACTTTTTCTCAACTTTCATAAATATATATATTAGTTTTTGTGAATACATAATTCTGACTACTAAAGTAATAGTTAAATTCTGATTTAAAATTAGATATTATATATAATTACACAAATATATAAATAAAATAAATCATTATCAAATTATTATCATTTAATTGCAAGTAGATGTTATAATAGCAGCTAATAATTTTTAACCAATATTATTTTACTGGTATATAAATTATATATGTGAAATACATCGATTAGGACATTCATTTTAAAAAAAATTATTAATATCATTCTTCAATATTCTATTAATTTACATCGGTAAAATGTAGTTTTTTGAATATTTACAAATCCATCAAACCTATTATAAAGTTTTATGAAAATTTTATTTTAAATTAAGATCATAGTTCCAATCTTATTTGTGTTACTAAGAAAAGTAACGGTTTAAACATCTATTGTATCCAGATGTCAAAATTTAATAAACATAGTGTTCAGAAATATTTATTTATGGAAATTATGTATAAAATCAAAGTTTTTATTAGAATTGTCTAAATTGCTTTGAAAATTTAGTTTGAATAAATCTCAATAAACTTATTTTAGGAATCATTATTTATAGACATCAATTATATATTAAAATGCTGATATATTGATATGATATATAAAAATATACATATTAAACACAATAAGAAATTATGCAATTACAAAAATATCACTCTATACAATATTGGTATAAAATTGTATATATTAAAAAAGAAACACATTGTACAGATGTAAATAAAAAATAAAATATTGTAGAATGAATTCGAAATACATATAGATGTAATTTTCACAACAATAAAATTTGATATTATTTTATTTGTTAAGTAAAATGGATTACCTAAAAGTTTAAGTTGATTTATTAACTTACAACAATGTCAGTACATATTACAAACGAAAGATAGGTTAAATATGATTATAATGTAATAATGTTGTATTATATTTATATTTAACACATCTCTCAAAGGTGTAAGTTGAACTATATACATAAAATATTGACAGTATATAATACTAATGATAGATTTACACTATCAACAGAATTTTTTTTCAAAAATCTTGTTTCATATAAATAAATAAAAGAAAAAATATAAATGACTTAACTCATAAATTTCATTTCTAAATACACTAAACATTTAGAGATCATTTACAAAATATGAGCTATATTTTCTTAAAATATTTTAATATATAATTAAATAAATGTATAATTTACCTTTTTTACATTGATATACTTAAGTTATACATTTGAGATATTCAAAGCAATTTTGAATTAGGTTCAATGAACACAAAATATTTTAAACTGTATTTTTGCTAATGATAAAATTTGATATTAATTTCTATAATAATGTAAATTGTATTACCCAAACAGAGATGCTTAATTAAAACACAGAAAAATGTCAAAACTTTATACAAAAGACACATATGTGTTATCAACAGTGTTATCAACATAATCGTTATTGAGAAATCTTGTTTAATACAAACAAAAATACAAACAAATCAAAATGATTG